AACGGTGACATCAGACTTTGTGTTGATTATAGGAAATTGAACCTCCAAACCATCAAGGATGCGTATGCCTTACCCAACTTGGAGGAATCCTTTTCAGCACTTAGTGGGGCTCAATGGTTCTCTGTGATGGATCTGAAGTCTGGATATTATCAGATTGAGATGGAAGAGAGCGACAAACCCAAAACAGCCTTCGTCTGTCCTTTAGGATTTTGGGAATGGAACCGTATGCCACAAGGAATAACTAATGCACCATCCACGTTCCAGCGTTTAATGGAGAAGTGCATGGGCGACATACACCTCCGAGAAGTGCTTGTTTTCCTTGATGACTTAATCGTCTTTTCCAAAACCCTGGAGGAACACGAAGTTCGACTGACCAATGTCTTGAATCGCTTGAGAGAAAACGATCTGAAGTTATCACCAGAAAAATGCAGTTTTTATCAAACATCTGTGCACTACTTAGGACATACTGTGTCCCGAAGCGGAGTCGAAACTGATCCTCTGTCACGGCCGCTGGCGCCGACTAGTGGCGGTACTCCCCCTCCCTCCTTTCCCTTCCTCCTTTTCCTCTAGGTGGGCGTGAGCGGCAGTGCAGGCGGCACTGATGGGTTACACCTGTGCTTCATCTCCGTGCAATCAAGCTGAGGAGCCACACCTGGGTTTGACTCGCCACTTCACTCTCTCTGCCAGTACTTAAACCAGCTCCAAACCATCAGCAGACGCCGGACCGTGATCAACTGATAGTCAGTGTTTGTTCTAGCTCTCGTTTTGCTCCGTGCCTTGCTTGCTCTGTGGCTAACTGTCTCTCCGCTCCCCAGGACTCCACCAGCCAGCGTGTGTGCTCCTCCAACCACCCTCATCTTCTCCCTCCGTTCCCTGCTGGATTCCCTGTTGCCGTCTCCCTGGTTCCCCGTCCTCACCACCGTTCTGCTGCACCGTCTGCATTTCCGCTCCGCCTGCCTTCCCCGCTCCCTCTCCGGTTTCCCTCAGCTAAGTTGTTAGCCGCTAGCTTCGTGTGTTTTAGTTTAGCTTCGTGATCCTTAGTTTCTTTAGTCTAGTTATTATTCCTGTTATAGCCTCGTGTGCTTAGTATAGCTTCGTGATCCTTGGTTTCTATAGAGTAGTTTATTATTCCTAGTTATAGCTTTGTATGTTTTAGTGTAGCTTCTTTATCCGAGTGTCTTACTGAGCCTTATTTGCTTAGTCTCCTTTCGTTCCTCGTTCTAGCTTAGCTTTCGTTTCCTTAGCCTTTTGTTTGTATTAGCTTCTTACCCGCATTACCACTCGTGTAGTTTTAGTTTTCAGTTTCCGAGTGCGTTTTTCGTTATCGTTAGTTTTAGGTTGGCTTTCCGTCTGTGGTCATACCACCAGCTTGGTTAGTGTTTGTTTTCTTGCCCTATTGTAAAATAAATTATTTTATTTTTGACATCTGTCTCCTGTGTCTTGTTGCTCTGCACGTGGGTCTGTGAACTGACCGTAACATCCTCAGAAGATTGATGCACTCAAGACCTGGCCGATACCTCAGACTTTGAAGGAGCTGAAATCATTTCTTGGTTTCTCCGGCTATTACAGGAGGTTTGATCAAGACTACTCCAAAATTGTGAAGCCCTTAATAAAACTCACGGTGGGCTACCCACCAACACGGAAAGTACCCAAAACAACCAAAGTGGATGCCAAATTTTACATTCCGAAGGAGCCATTTGGAGAGAGATGGACACTAGCTTGTCAAAAAGCCTTTGAGGAAATCATTGGAAAACTGACATCATCCCCAGTCCTAGGGTACGCAAATCCAGAATTGCCATATATCATTCATACGGATGCCAGTACAACCGGACTTGGAGCAGCATTGTACCAAGAGCAAGATGGACAGAGTCGTGTTATTGCTTATTGCAAGTAGAGGTCTTTCACGCAGTGAAGCTAGATATCCAGCCCACAAGCTTGAATTCTTAGCCTTGAAATGGGCCATCACTGAAAAGTTCCACGACTACTTGTATGGAAACACCTTCACAGTAATAACTGAAAACAGTCCACTCCGGTACATACTTACCACCGCTAAGTTAGATGAAACCAGCTACCGTTGGTTAGCTGCTCTGTCTACTTTCTCATTTGACATTAAGTATCGTGCCGGTAAACAGAACCAGGATGCAGACGGGTTGTCAAGGAGGCCACATGGAGAGTTGACTGATGACAGCTGTTCCCAAGAGGAAAGCTTAAGGATCCGTGAGTTCACTTCGCACCACCTGACTCCTGTGGACGTTGTCAAAGCAACCTGTCAGTATCACATGGCAGAACAGGGTGAATCATCACTGTCCCCTTGTCTCATTGAGTCCCTTGCAATTCATCCGGATGCTATTCCAGCTGCATTTGAGGATGAGGAGAAAGTATCCTCTAAGGGTCTTTCCATAGTTCCGACATACAGTGACGCTGAGTTAGCCGAACTGCAGCAAAAAGACCCTGTAATCGGTACTGTCATCAAGTTACTTCAGTCTGGAGAACCGACACCTACTCATTTAAAGTCTGAGTCTCCTGAGCTTCGGCTGATGCTCAGAGAGATGAATCGCTTTGAACTAAAAGACGGTCTGTTATACAGGAAACGACAATGTGACAATGGAGCACTGTATCAATTTGTCCTCCCTAAAGTGCTAAAATCATCAGTACTCACCAGTCTTCATGAGGAGATGAGTCATCTAGGGATAGAACGCAGTCTCGAGTTGGCCAGATGCAGGTTTTATTGGCCCAAAATGTTCTCTGATGTGGAGTCAAAGGTCAAAACCTGCCCACGATGTGTTAAAAGGAAAAGCCAGCCAGACAAGGCTGCTCCTATGGTCAACATCCAAACCAGCCGGCCTATGGAGCTGGTCTGTATGGACTTCCTGTCCCTAGAACCAGATAGTCATAACACCAAGGACATTCTGGTCATTACAGACCACTTCACTAAATATGCCGTGGCCATACCTACTCGTGACCAAAAAGCCACTACAGTAGCTCGTTGTCTTTGGGAGCAATTTCTCATTCATTATGGATTCCCAGAGCAGCTCCATAGTGATCAAGGCCGTGATTTCGAATCTCAGATCATTAAGGAACTTTGTACTTTACTTGGTATAAAGAAAACCAGGACAAGTCCCTACCATCCCAGAGGGAACCCAGTAGAGCGGTTTAACCGTACACTACTGAGTATGCTCGGTACTCTGAAAGATAAAGAAAAAACAAAGTGGTGTGAGTATGTAAAGCCTCTTACACATGCTTACAATTGCACAAAAAGCGATGTAACTGGTTTCTCCCCCTATGAGCTCATGTTTGGGCGGCAGCCTAGACTGCCCATCCGCAGCAGGTCTCCAAGGTGAACAGCCTCTGGCACGTTAGAACAAGGCAGGTAAGGGAAGTCGGCAAGTTGGATCCGTAACTTCGGGACAAGGATTGGCTCTAGCTTTTCGGACTACCAATCAAAGAGGGCTCATGCATACCACATTCACAATATGTGAAAAACCTGAAGTCTAACCTAACAGCAAGCTACAAACTAGCTACAGCAAATGCCAAGAAAGTAGCCGACAAGAGCAAACAAAGGTTTGATATGCGAGTGAGAGAGTCTTGTTTAGAGATAGGAGATCAAGTCTTGGTGCGTAATCTCCGCCTCCGCAGTAAGCATAGACTCGCTGACCGGTGGGAGTCCACTGTATATGTTGTACTAAAGAGAGCAGGAGAATTACCCGTCTATACAGTTTGTCCTGAAGGTCAGGATGGACCCAATCGCACATTGCATAGGGATCTTTTGCTTCCATGCGGGTTCCTCTCTGAACAAGAGGAGGAGTCTGTCAGACCAACACCAGCTCGGAAGCCTAAAACAAGGCAAACTCCCACTCAATCGGAGGAGACACCTCTATACTCCGATGAAGATGATGAAAGTCCATCATTCTATCCAATGGAAATGATTGAGACAGAAGGCAGAGTTCTCAAATCTTTCAGTGTGTCTCCATCTGAGAATGTCGCAGCAACTGAAAGTGGAACTTGTGCTCAAACAAAACTTTCACATGAACTGACAAACTTACCTGAAACTGAATCAGGAAACCTATCTGTGAACTCACCTGAACAATCTGCAGAAGATGTTTCAAACGTTCCTGTAGAAGGAGAAAATGAAAACTTAACTGGACACTTACCTGAACTTGATCCAAACCCCCCCGAACCTGTGGAAAGTTATCCTGTTGAGCAGGAGCTTGAAAACAACCCCTGTGTTGAAACAGAAATGAACACTGATCAAATGAAAATGCAAAGCCAGATAAATGAACGTGAGCAACCTTCAGAAGAAGACACAAACTTGCCTGATACAACACAATCAGAACAGAAACACTTGGGATCTTCAAGCAGTTCTCAAGAGCAAGCTGAAAGAGTTGAAGTTCATACCTTCTTGCCAAGTTCATCTGAAATGACAGACAGTTCTCAGAATGTCAGCCAGTCGGCTGCATCAAGTGATAATATCCCTGCAGAGGCAGCAGATAGTATAGTTAGTGAACAGGGTGAAGCAACTGTATGTCGATCTGAACGTCAAAGAAAGCCACCTGCGAAGTTTACTTACCCTCAGCTTGGGAACCCTTTCATTTCTTTTGTTCAAACTATATTTGATGGCTTTAATCAGGTTTTGGTAGAAGCATTTGAGAGTAACTCTAGTGTTAATGGAGCATGAAGAGACTCATGCTAATTAAGGAAGGGAGGGTGTAACCCAGGTGAAAACCAGGTTCACTAATTAATATTATTTTGGCTATTTATTTTATTTACACCAGGAGATGCACAACAAAAACTATTTTGTTTTAATTGTTGAAATGAATCACACAAGTGTTTGTGCAAAGCAGTGATGCACTTGAACTCAGCTTGCTGGATCACATGATCAGTCACAGCCAGTGAGATGTCAGCTATAGCATGTACCCGAAAACAAGGCAGCGTCCGTAAGTTTCCTTTTCCTCTTGATCGCGGGACATCGCAGCGAGAGGCCACGCATGCCGCGAGCAGAGCAAAGAGCGAGCAGAGAGCGATAAAGCGGAGCAAATATAAAGTAAATACACCATTCTGACACACGTCGCTAATTAACACACCTGTGTGCACTTCCTGCTGTACTTCGCTTGCGTTTTGATTAGTTTTATTGCCGATTTTAGGCTTAAAGAGAGCGTCATTCGCTTCCTCACTCAGCTGCACCACATGGAGAGGCAGAATCTTTTCTTCACTCGGTGGTGGAATTTGTGAATATTGGTGAGACATCTCATGGCTGTTGACATGCAAGCTGCTGCTGTTTATTTATTATTTGAAGGGAAAAATGTTGCATTAAACCCAGTAATTTCTGTAATTATTTACATGTGTATCTAAGGGTTGAATCACTGTGGTGTGTATAGCAGAAATATGTAATGCACATTTCAGCCACAGGGCTAATTCGTGTTGATGTGAAATATTATTTTATGTGTATGAAAGCACATTTAAGGTAAAATGGTACATTTTGCTGTGTTAAATGTGTGAGCTTCTGTGAAATATTAATGTCTTAAGTGTTGATCATTGTATAGTAAATGTTTTTGCACTAAAAGCAACTTCATACTTTAAGTTAGATGCATTTTATGCTACTTTGAATAAGTTGTCAGTTTTCTACTGACAGGTTAAGCTAAAAATAGTTAAATACTATTTTCTTGTTGAACTTGAATGTGATTAAGATTTAAATAGCTGGGATAACATAATCCTCCTGTAATAGAAATTGAGAATGTGTTGTACAACAAAAGAGAAAATTTAGAGAAATACTGGAAGAAATAGGTTACAGACAAATAGAATAGACTTTAAGCCTGTATTTTCCAATGCAGGTCAGGTCTTGAAGTCTACCGGTCTTCAGGTCTTGAAGTTGACCGGTCTTTAGGCCTTGAGGTTTTCAAGTCTTCAGATCTTCTGGTCTTCTTTTGAGTTGGAAAAGTGATGCGAACCAGGAAGACGTTCCAAGAGATGGCGAGCCTACCCAGTGTGAATCCAGAACTAGGATCTACAATGTGCTAAAAAGCAAACCCTCCAGTTGCTTTTGCGGTAGGAGTGTGCCGGTTTCAACATTGGCACCAACACGACCCTATATCTTAAAGAGTGCACTTCAACGAACATAGGGATCCTTGACTTTAGACTTGCAGATCAAAAACTGCATTTAAGCTGACTTGACTTTTGAAGAGCTGAACACTGGAAAAAAAATAAAAAAAACTTACCGAGGGTCATTTTATTTTCTTTTAAAGGGCTGTTTGTTATTTTTCATACCAATGTACATATTTTGTTCTTCTGCACATTAAAGTGCCACTAATTGTGAGAGTTGGTCTTGTGGTGCTCCTTAAGGACCTAGAAGTGAGGAGCCTGTTTATTCCAGGATTGGGTTACATCAGCATCAATGGAGCCGCGATTCGACGAGTCACCATGGCAATGGGAAAGTGGAGGGCTGCCTTTTTACTCCACTAGAATTGGAAATCTTAATGTGCTCATACGGCGAGTTTGAACATGTTTTTAAAAAGAAGCACTACACCACTGTAGCTGCAAAACAGATGGAGATGGGGTTGGAGAACATTGCTGTTCGGGTCATTGTTTAAGTTTAAATGTCGTCCTTTGCAATCACAATAATATTACAGGGGAAAACTGCTTCAATGGTAGCCTATTAATTTATTTCATTTAGGTGCAATCCCGCGGGGGGAAAAGCGCACTTGGTAGCAGCTTAAGATGAAATATAAAAACACTTTTCAAGTCTGGAGTCACGTGACGCAGGGACCGGGAATGGCTGCCTAGAGATCTGCTCCGACCGTCGTGGCATTAAATTTTGTACATAAACAACGTTCGAGCGGCATAAAGTTCATTTGCTCAGAGTCTACAACAAACTAGATTCGGACAAAATGCAGAGCAGCAAAAATACAGCAGGGAAAAGTTCAACGGCAAGGAACACCGCCGCGTCTGCCTCGGAACGTGCTAGCAGTGCCAAGCTAGCATCGGCTCCGGCTAACGACACAACACCCGACTGCGCTAGCAGCGCTAACCTGACAGCGTGGCTAACGGCGGCCGACACAGCTAGTGATGTTACTACCGAGCGTACTGGCTGCCCTAAACCAACTCTGGCTACAGCTAAAGACAGCGAATCAGGCACAGTGGCCACGAACATCACTAATATATACAACCTTCTCTCAGAAATCTCGAGCGGACATAACAGCAAGCTGGATGAAATCCACCCAACCACCACATCAATGGAGTCCAAACTTAACTCCATTGCCCTACGCCTGTCCGAAGTAGAGAGTCGCCTGGAGTTTCTGGAAAACAGCGACAAGGCGTTAAAAGCCGATCTGCCTGCGCCCCGGAGCGAGCTGGAGCTGCTCCGCCAGCGGGTGGACAATCTAGACTCCCGGAGCCGTTGCATCAACCTGATCTTCGTGGGCTTCCCTGAATCTTGTGAGGATTCCGGTGTCATTTCATTTCTAACACGAGTGATTCCAGACATTTTGGGACTCGACTTTCCAACGGGCATGGAAATAGATAGAGCCCACCGGGCTTTAGCTCAACGCAGACCGGACGGCCAGCCACCCAGAGCCATAGTTGCAAGATTCCTACGTTATCAAGACCAAGACCGGATCCTGCAGGCAGCCCGCAACAAGGGGAAGCTAACATGGGGAGAGCATCGCATCATGATTTTTCCAGATTACTCCAAGGCAGTGAGCGACAAGCGCAGACAATTTAAGCAGTGTAAGGAAATGCTCCACGAACGGCACATAAGATTCTCCCTGCGCTATCCGGCTGTGCTGATGATTAACCCTACAGGTGAGGGAGGACGGCGCCGGGAGTTTGACGACCCAAAGAGAGTGCTGGAATACATCGGTACACTGTGACTGGCATATTTCACATCACGCACCTGCTGAACTGACAATAATATGGACACGAATCATCCAACGCTGCCCGCGCAAGGCCTACGTAGGTACAATTTCTTCACAGAAGGACTCACCTGTCTATTGTTTACACAACACGAATCAGGTAACAAACACTCTTATTTAATAGGCTATCTCCAGCATATTATATGCGGGTCACTTTCTAGTTTTATATTTCATGAAGCAGAAATACAAGTGAGTTATTCCATTTGATTGAGTTTTGGGCCGTGTGCGGGACACGAATAATACTCTGCTCAGAGAATTGCTACATCTCAGGTCAGATATGGCCACCTGTCATTTAACATAAGGATGCAACTGAACTTTTATAAATATTGTTTGTTTTGGGTTTTTTCAATGGCACCCTTGTGCTTATGTATAACTATCTCATTATAAACGTAGTCTCGGAGCAGACACTCTGCTCTGTGGGTTTACTAAGCACCGCTCTGTTGGTAATCTGATTTCAGCCGCGACAGTCGGGTTTTTGGTTTTCAGGGACAGCCTTTTTCTATGAGTCACAGACCATGGTACTTTTTAGTTAGAGCTCAGCGTGATGTTAATTCGCGTTTAAGAGTTTCTCTGTTCTGTTCTTGTTCTACGGTTGTTATCTTCACTGTTTTTCTTGTGTGTGTTTGTTGTATGTGGAGTTTTTTTGAGTTTTTGGCAGATGGTTGTATAGAAAATATGGGAGCCTATCCACAACATGCATCCACTAAGTAATAATGGACTGTGTTATTTGAGCCTGAATGTAAAGGGTCTGCATTCACCTATCAAAAGAAAAAAAGTTCTGACATATCTTAAGTCAAAGCACTGTGATGTGGTCTTTATCCAGGAAACGCACTTACTCGACCAAGAAGCAAGCAAACTACGTACGGGGTGGGTTTGACACGTATCTGCTGCATGTGGCTCTAGCTATAGCAGAGGCGTTGCCATTCTGATAAAAAAACATCTACAATGTAAATGCATCAAGGAGGCCAAGGATGATTCAGGGAGGATCTTAGTAGTCTTAGCCGAGATACAAGGCGTCACAGTCATCTTAGCTAACGTATATGCTCCTAATGTTGAGGATTCAGCCTTTATTGGACTGTTGGAGTATAATCTCGATAAAATGGGTAGTTACCCAGCTATTTTGGGTGGAGATTTTAATCAGGTGTGGGACCCAGTACTAGACAGGCAACCTTCAATACCTCGGCCACGTAGATCAGTTAATGTGCTCAAAGATATGTGTGAGGGCCTGGGCCTGGTGGATATCTGGCGTCTTCATAATCCAACATCCAGAGAATATACATATTACTCACCGCCCCACGGCTCTCTCTCTAGGATAGACGATTTTTTTGTTTCTGATTGTCTTGTATCCTCCACAATCTCGTGCAGCATAGGAAGTATTCACATCTCAGACCATGCTCATGTAATGGTTAATATCCTCCCTTTAAATAAAACAAACAGGACCCCTAGATGGAGAATGAACTCAAGTCTTCTTCTGGACTCCAGTTTCAGAGAGTCTCTGAGAGATCAGATCGCTCTCTTTAAAGAAACAAACTTACCAACAGCCCCTTCAGCTGGAGTTGCTTGGGAAGCTATGAAAGCTTTCCTTAGAGGATATATTATACAGCACGCTTCATTTAAGAAAAAACAAAATATTGCCAAGCAAGTTGAATTGGAGAAGCAGATTCAGCTAGCTGAGAATGCATACAAACAAAATATGACACCTGCTAATTTAACTTCTCTAACCCGTCTTAAATATGAGTTTAATTCTATCCTCACTGGGAAGGCAGAGTTTGCTCTTTTCAGAGTTAGACAGAAGCAGTTTGAAGAAGGAGATAAGGCAGGAAGAATGCTGGCGAGATATATAAAACAGAGAGAGGCTATGAATGCTATACCAGCAATCAGGAATAGTGAGGGGAGCCTGGTGACTAATACTACAGACATTAATGCAGAGTTTAGGCGCTTTTACTCCAGTTTGTACGCTTCTGAACTGCAGGCATGCATTGAGGACATTAGATCTTTCCTTACTGGTTTGAACCTTCCCACCTTAAATGAAGAACAACAAGATGTATTAGATGCACCCATTACTACTGAGGAGATTGTGGAGGTCATTAGAAGCTTATCATCTGGCAAAGCCCCTGGTTTGGATGGCTTCACAGCCGAGTTTTTTAAGTGTTTCGCTACAGAGTTGGCACCATTACTTCTGGACGTCTACACAGAGGCGTTTGACGCTGGGTGCCTCCCCCCATCCTTGATGGAGGCAGTTGTTACTGTTATTGTAAAGAGTGGTAAAAACCCAACAGATTGCAAAAGTTACAGACCCATCTCACTGTTGGGCTACGATGAGAAGATCCTGTCTAAGCTTCTATCTAACAGACTCAACAAAGTTATCCCCACCTTAATCCACCCTGACCAGGTGGGTTTCATCCCTAAACGTAGCTACGTTAATAACATCAGACGATTAACTGACATCATGTGGGCCACCCATAACTGTAGTTCCCCCACAGCAGCCATTTCCTTAGACGCGGAAAAGGCCTTTGACAGGGTTGAGTGGTTTTATTTGTTTACCACCCTGGAGTCATATGGCTTTACTAATAAATTTATCAAGTGGATAGAACTTTTGTACACCCACCCCAAGGCTGCAGTGTTAACTAATGGCCTGGTCTCGCCCTGGTTTGAATTGGGTAGGGGGACCAGGCAGGGTGACGGAATCTCCCCAGGGCTTTTTGCACTGGCTCTGGAACCTCTGGCAACAGCTATCCGATTGGACCCCTCGATTTCGGGTGTAAAAATCGGCCAATCTACCCACAAGCTTTTGTTATATGCGGATGATATCCTTGTTTTTGTCTCTGAACCAGAACGCTCTCTTCCTGCACTACTTAAACTAATAGATACATTCTCTCACCTGTCAGGTTACAAAGTTAACTGGTCAAAATCAGAAGCTCTCCCTTTAACATCAGACTGCCCTAGGAACATCTTCTTGAAGGGAAATTTTTCCTGGCCTAGCCATGGCATTAAATACCTGGGTATCATCATCCCCCCTAGACTAGCGGACCTAGCTAAAGTTAATATGGACCCCCTGCTGAACCAACTCAAAGCAGATATCGAAAGATGGGCCCCTCTATTCCTATCATTATGGGGGAAAGCTAATGTTTTGAAGATGACTTGCGCACCCAAGATTAATTACCTTCTCCAAGCGCTCCCAATCAGAATCCCTTTAAAGTATTTCAAGCAGCTAGATATGCTTTTTAACAGATTCCTCTGGAATAGTAAGCGTCCTAGGCTTAACTTAACAAAATTACAAAAACCTGTTGAAGAGGGAGGTTTGGGCATTCCAAATTTACTATTGTACTATTATGCCTTTGGCCTTCGACACCTTGCTCACTGGTGCCTTCCCCCAGAACGTGCCCCTCCCTGGTTTCATATTGAA